GTGTGTTTATAGCGTAGCTTTGGTTTTGTAAATCAATGAAGTATGATATACACGGATGAGTAAATATAGATTATTTAAACAGAAGTGCAAAATTCTTCCATTGAAAAGTACAGAGGCGGGTACTCACGAAACATTACATGTGCCTGACTGCATCCACATAGATCGACTAGCCACAGTGAATATAGCTCTTGAGTGATACAGGTGACCTCTGAATAAGATTAAGGGGCAGCGTAAGGTTATACAAGGATATGAGGGTCCAAAAATGTACAATGTCCGAAGCTATACTTGGGCCCGAAGTAGCCCCTCGAAAGCTTTACAGGGGTCTCCAGAAACCCACAAATTACAATAAGGCACCCGTAATATCTATGTCCTCGTTAACTGTAAAAGTAATAAATATATGGTCCCTTTGTGTCCCCAAAGAGCTAAACAAGGTCCTATAATCCTGCGACCTCAAAAGCTACACATTGGAATTCTATGGCCTTGAATAGTTATATCCAAAGGTCGGGCCATATATCACTGAGACCTCGGGCATATATGCCACGATAGTGACATAACCTCTAAATATTGGGTGTCCCCAAAAACGTCACAGTTTTTGACTTGCACTATCTCAGTTATCCAAAAGCCATATTCTTTGAAACTTCTTAGGGACCACCTTTAGGCTGTTTGCAGCAAGCACTGGAAATATCAAAGCGATCTGATATAAATCCTGTTAGCATTGCTCAATACACAAAAAACCTGTCCTTTAATCCCTGCTCTTTGAACTTGTCATTGTGTCCATGGTACGCTTTTCCCTCAACAAGTTCCCAGCCCTTTCCTTGAAACAATTCCCAATGGTAGCTCTATCTCCATCACTGAAAACCATGATTGCTCTTTTCCATATGACACTTTGGAATGAATCTGTCTTGGACGCAAGTGTCAATACAAGTATCTTACCAGATTGACACCTAGATGATTAAAATAGGTTGACACTGATTGTCAACTTCTGCAAGGTCAATACTGACAACATTTTAATCACCTTGGCAACCATACAGCAGTTACTATCTAACCTGCATAAGCATTCCGCCTGTTATTCCTGGGTGCATAATGCACTTCACAGATGATGCACTGATATTGCATTTTTAACATGCTTTTTTGTTCTGGGCAGTACATCAAAACTATATGATGGATTGTTTTGATTCTTTTACAGTCAATACAAAATATCCTGATCTCAATAATAACAAAATGTTATTGATTTCAGTGCAAAGGAAGCTGAGATATTGCTAGTCAAAAAGTGTGACATTTCTTTGGGACACCTGATGTACTAGGGCCCATGGTAGTTGTACTGTACTGTACTGTACTGTACTATAGCTATACTATACTATACTATACTATACTATACTATACTATACTATAGCTATACTATAGCTATACTATACTATACTATACTATAGCTATACTATACTATACTATACTATACTATGCTATACTATAGCTATACTATACTATACTATACTATACTATACTATACTATAGCTATACTATACTATACTATACTATAGCTATACTATACTATACTATACTATAGCTATACTATAGCTATACAACTACTATTGAGTATCAACGAAAAGCTTATTAAATCTAGAAGAAGAGCTTGTTTAATAATTTGGATTTACACACAGTTTGATAAATAATTAAGTTCAGTACTAAGTATGCGCCATTCGAGACAATTGATTATCATATTGTCAGTAGAATATAGTCTAAACTTATGTATTCATTAATTGCACATGTATTATGTAACATTTGATTTTAAAGAGACAACTGAATCATTTAAAGAGGACGGAGACGCTCAATGGTTAAATCATATCCCAAATGGTCAATGTCAGTCAATCTAATGATTACCAACTGACATAATGGTACATATAACTGCGAAATACTGTTTTCTTACCACAAGGAGGTTGGTCACAGTTTTTGGACTCTGTTTCTTTAGAGTTTCCAGGACACGGAGGTAAACCTGTGTACGTTCTTGTTCTATTCCTATATTTCTTTCCTGGTCCACATGTTGTAGAACAACGACTCCAATCACCCCATTGTCTCCATGGACCCCAACGGCAACCTACAATAGAATGGTATCCATGTACATTTATTGCTGGTCCAAACAGAATATTGCAGTTTGAGTTTGTAATTTACTTTTTAGTACTCCTTGTAAAAGGTTAATGGACTTGCTGTGTAAATGGAATACTTTTATAGTTGTCATTCATGAAGAATTACAGCTTTCTTCTAGCATGTTATAGCAACGTTTATTCGAATTTCAAAAATTTGACAAAATGTAAAATCAGAATTCAAACATGGAGTGAATATATCTGTATTATCTCTAAATCTATTCATAATAGATATATATAATGATATATCCACTTCAGGAATTTATTACTCAAGTTTAGAAAGATATGATGCAATTATGATCGCGATATTAACGACATTTTTCCTTATCCCCGTTTGGCCGTATCCCCGTTTGCTCACATACAAGTAATAATATACATTTGTACATATAGTTTATAAGGGCCTTTTACAGGGAAAGTGTAATCATAAGTATCTCACCTGCCCTTGAAGGACAAATATATTGGGTTTGCAAAATCACTTCACTAATTAAAATTGAAATCACAAAGTGAATACAACTAGATTGAGCTTCTTTAAAATTAAATATTTTCTTTCTTGAGATGTTTGGGAAACAATTTGATAATATAATTCTATTCTTACAAGGTGGGTTGTCACAGGGTCTGTAGCAAGTCTCATTTGAGGTACCAACACATACTGGTGGACCTCCTAATACGATTTGTTTCGTTCGTGTTCGAATTCCATATCTCTTGCCTGGCCCGCATGTTGAAGAACATCTTCCCGAGGGTTTACATTGTCCCCAATTACTCCATCTACATCCTGCATGTTAATTAATTCATGCCAATGTATATCTATTGAGATTGCAAGTCTTAATAACCACAATTATTCTCATATGATCATGAAATAATTTGCGATGTGAAAATATCATTTTGGATGGTTTTAGTTCTATCATTCAGTTGTGTTAGAGATAGATAGATTGCATGACACGTGCGTGTTTATACGGGTGATGTCTTAAAGAGATGTTAATGAGATTTCTCCGTGGCATTATTTCCTTGTTCCTTTTTGTTTTGAATTTTTTACACTATAACATTTACTAACTACTCAATATTCAACTTTTCACCACGTAGAATTTTAAAATATTAAGTTTGAAAATTCCATTTTTATAATGGAGCTCAATGGAAAAAATGACATAATTTGAATTATTTTTTAACGTAGCAGCGCGATTTTCTTGAAATTGACAGATATAATTAATATTGGTAAGACAAATTGTTTGAAGAAAAATGAAGAGAATTCACCGTCCTGGTTACGCAAAATATAGAAAAACGTGAAATAATCAAAAACCTGTAAAATAGATTGAAGGGGATGATATTCATTTTTAATGTGCCTTTCACTACTACAGGGTAACCATAGTTTTGGTAATGGTTTACTAATTAAGAGCATATCTTCCAGCATGTGTATCAAGCACAAGTAATAAGTGAGTTATTATCATTAATTGGAATGGTATTATTGTATTCCTTAGCAATGGTGACAAAAAGGTAAAATCAATCATATCACAATAAGCTTACTAGTTCTTACCATCAAATCGATCTATTATATTGCATATAAAACAAAATAGCAGTAGATCTTCAAATTCAAGAATTGAGCTAAATTGTAAGATAATAAATAAGTTGCTAATTCCTTATAACTGTATAATCACTTTCTCCAAATCATATCAAATTATAATATTTCAGTATGCTTATTTTAGTTGCTGTAGTTTAGATCACTTGATGAGTATATTCACTAACATGCTGTCACTTGAGACAAAACCTGACACCAAATAACCACTTGAAATAAACAATATGAATTCTTCATATGTTCTTCTTTTGCAATACATTCATTCTTGAGAATTAGCATTCAAAGCTTTTAAATGCAATCATGAATTTAGTGATCTGACCCTTAAAATACTTTTCAGGGGAAATAGTTTGTCCACTGTAGCCCTTAGGTGTAGCATCTTTTTCTAGCCATATTTTCCAAGGCCTTCTGGAAAACCTATTTCAGTGTGCAAGTTTAGCATTGTTTTCCCATTGATCATTTGAGATCTTACGTTAATAACATATGGAAATAAGAATGATAGTCTTATTGTAAAAAATCAAAAATAAAACAAGGTTTGGTCAGGAAGGGAACAGGTGAAATCCTGGGATATATGAATTAATTAATTAGTTAGAAACATATTCATGTTTCTACAATTTAGGGTAGCCCTGTGTATTATTCTACTGCACATGGTTATACCCGTGCAAAATATTACAAAATGTTATTTACTTATTATCATAATTCAATGTGACAATATCAGTCTTATCTTCAAATATGTCCATAAAAGTTTGCCTGTAAGGTTGGGCAAGCCGTCTATTACGTTGATAGTATAAGATGTTGATTTTGCAAAGCTCTTATGAGCTAATTCTACAATATGTATAGTAACATATATGTAAGGGTGCCAGTATGTAGTCCAGTATGGAGTAAACAAAGGAGTAATTTGGTCAACTCAATACATCTGATAAACACTACATGAAGTCACACTTTTCTATGCAATGATTATATACAGGCACTTATTCATTGTTACCGCGAATTTTAAAAGCTTCCAAATTGTGTGGAATAGAGCATGCGATGTTTTTCAGTTTCAAGCAGGTTTTAGTACATTCTGACCAATTGTATTTTCAGACGTATTCATTTCATGATTATGTAATACTGACCTACTTATCTGTTAAACATATCTTTAAGACAGTGTCTAAGTCACCACTCCCAAAATATACAAATACATATCTATTAAAATTGACAGTCTTAATGACCACATCTCTTCTTACATGACCAAGGGATACTATTCAATGTGAAAATATCATCTTATTCTCACCGCAAGGTGGATTGTCACAGGGTCGGTAGCAAGTCTCGCTTGAGGCACCATTACAGTCAGGTGGACCTCCTAATACCATTTGTTTCGTTCGTGTTCGAGTTCCATATCTTTTTCCTGGCCCACATGTTGAAGAACATTTTCCCGAGGCTTGACACGATCCCCAATCACTCCATCTACATCCTGCATGTTAATTTATCCATGCCAATGTATATCTATTATGATTGCAAGTCTTAATGCCCACAACTCTTCACATAAAAGCGGGGGATACTATTTGATGTGAAAATTATTTCATACTCACCGCAAGGTGGACTGTCACAGGATCTGTAGCAAGTCTCATTTGAGGGACCAATGCATTCAGGTGGACCTCCTAATACAATTTGTTTTGTTCGAGTTCGAATTCCATATATCTGTCCTCGTCCACATGTTGAATAACATTTTCCCGAGGTATTACATGATCCCCAATCACTCCATCTACATCCTGCATGTTAATTAATCCATGCCAATGTATATCTATTATGATTGCAAGTCTTAATGCCCACAACTCTTCACATAAAAGCGGGGGTACTATTCGATATGAAAATTATTTCAAACTCACCGCAAGGTGGACTGTCGCAGGATCTGTAGCAAGTCTCATTTGAGGGACCAATGCATTCAGGTGGACCTCCTAATACAATTTGTTTCGTTCGAGTTCGAGTTCCAGATCGCTTTCCTGACCCACATGTTGAAGAACATCTTCCAAAGTCTTTACATTGTCCCCAACCACTCCATCTACAGCCTGCATTATAATTAAATCTATGTATGGTCTTTGGGAGTGGTGACTTAGACAGTGTCTTGAGACAGCATAATTTTAGTTCTATCATTCAATTGTTGTTATCATTAGAGATAGATAGATTGCATGACATGCGCAAGTTTATACGGGTGATGTCTCAAGACAGTGTCTAAGTCACCACTCCCAAAATATACAAATACATTTCTATTAAAATTGACAGTCTTAATAACCACATCCTTCTTATATGACCAAGGGATACTATTCGATGTGTAAATATCATTTTATTCTCACCGCAAGGTGGATTGTCACAGGTTGCGTAGCAAGTCTCACTTGAGGCACCAATGCATTTTGAACATCCCGGTACATTTTGTTTTGTTCGTGTTCGGATTCCATATCGTTGTCCTGGTCCACATGTTGAAGAACATCTTCCCGTTGCTTTACATTGTCCCCAATTACTCCATCTACAGCCTACATGTATATATTATAAGGTATAAGTTGTTAACAGAATTAATTATGCAGAGATCGTTGGCTTATATTCCAAAAATATTGCCTCCATCACGAAACACTGTCAATTTGATTATCAGCCCGTTTGTTTTAGATGGACACAATCGAAAACACGAATAAACAAGGTGGGCAAAATTAAATAAAAATAATAGAGTTAAATCGATTATAACTGCGGATTTCCTTATTCAATATCATTACTGCTTATAAATATTCAGCAAAGTAGCATGTCTTCTTAAGTTGAGTATTTAAATTGAAATTACAATTTTTATCTCACCGTAAGATGGATTGTCACAGGGTGTGTAGCAAGTCTCGCTCGAGGCACCAATGCATACAGGTGGACCTCCTAATACAATTTGTTTCGTTCGTGTTCGAGTTCCATATCTCTTTCCTGACCCACATGTTGAAGAACATCTTCCCGAGGCTTGACATTGTCCCCAATCACTCCATCTACATCCTACATTATAATGAGTCCATTTACAGTTTTGAAATTTCATAAGATATATCTTTTAACAATGGTTGATTTCTTTTAAATATTGCCTCCAACAGTTTACACTGTACGTGCTAGTCCTATGAACCTCAGTATGTACATGTTTTAGACGGACGTACATTAATCTATGGCACCTTATACAGAGTTGGCCAAATACAAGACGCAAATAAAAAATGATTATAGAATTGTAGTTTCATAATTAAATGGCATCACTGATTGTACAAGATTGTACACATTTTTTTGTTTATTTCAGACCGGATATTAATTCGATGCGAACACATAATCTTATTCTCGTCGCAATATAGTTTATTTTAAATGGCATTTTATCCTCACCACAAGGGGGTTGATCACAGTTTTTGAACTCAGTTTCTTTAGAGTTTCCAGGACACGGAGGTAAACCTGTGTACGTTCTTGTTCTACTTCTATATTTCTTCCCAGGTCCACATGTTGTAGAACAACGACTCCAATCACTCCATCGTCTCCAGGTACCCCAACGGCAACCTAGAATGAAATATATGGATATTTGTTTTATTTTGATTCATCGATTATACAATAAATGCAGTTAGCTTCTTTCTGTTGTTGATACAAGAAATCGGCATTATGTATGAGTTTCAAAGGCACAAATCATAAAGATAATACAATATGTGTGATCAAATATAGTATCATTTGACCATACGATATCTCTTAGTAATAGCGAATTTCTGCTCTTGGCATCCATTTTGGATTTTCTAAGGAGAGAATCAGAAAAACAATACCATAATTGTAATATACTGTACCATTGCTCCAATTTGAGTATAATATAGCCATACTTTAAAGAGATCAAAAAGCTTAAGATGTAAAATCTCAAATAAGCAGTCGATATGGTACTACGAAAATGGGACTTAGAATCTGCGCATGTAACATTTTTTGTCAAAACTCGACTTTTGATACGATTGTCTTTCGAACTACAGACTTACCCCATTCGAAAGATCCTAAAAGACCTTATCTATACTGAAAATCTTAGATCCCAGCATCACACCGGAATAGCCTGACTACGGTAAAGTCAGATACCGTTGTCACAAATGGCGGACATAACCGTCGCTTCAACTGTTTAATCACTTGGTCCTCATTTCATGGGATTTTATCGTCGTTAATTCTGTGCATGCATTTAGCTCTTGTGATAATGTATCATATGAAATCCCATTTTAGATCAAATTGGGTCGTGAATCGCCACAATATAGCCTCTTCGATATCGTCAATGACAACGGAATCTGAATTTGAGTAATTTAGAAAGACAACGGCATATTGTAATTAGTAATTACAGTGTCCGTTGTCCCGTATCTTATTTTGATCGGTTAAATTAAATACTTTATTTCGATGGTAGAACATTATTAACTGTACAATGAGTATTAAGACACTTTGATTGATTGTTGTTCCAAAGGAATTTAGTCTAGGTGCTCTATTAAACATACAGTTCATCTAAATCTAATTGAAGCGACTGTTATGTTCGCCATTTGTGACAACGGTATCTGACATTACCGTAGTCAGGCTAATCCGGGGTGAGCATAGTAGAATACGCCGTCAGTCTGCTTTTGATTTTTTGGAGTGAGTTTCGTAGATCGTCAGATTTCTCCGACTGATATCTCAAATTGGTTCGTTTATAAATACGAATTTCTTTACCCTTGTAAGACGCATGCGCAAAATTGATTTATAAACGTGATTGGTTGATGATTTTCTCCTGAGCATGCGCGAATTCTGATGAACACTTATGAGAAAGACATGTAGCAACCATTACTAGCTCTCGAACGAAGTTCCAAGATTCAGATCATTTTTCTATGTTTGCTAAGAGTGTACACGTGAATGACAAGCTGTTTTGAGTAGATCAGGCACGTGTTTTTGACACAACATTGATTTAGGTTGACATTGATGAGGTGCACATTCGCACTTTTGAACATGCTAATACAAGTTTTTATATCCTTAGCAGGAGATGGGTTTTCGAACAATCTGTTATCTAATTCACTCGATTATCGTATGGATATGTTTTCTGCTGACATTTTAACACCACAGCACATACAATTACGATGCAGAATGATAATAAAACACAAAACAACTACTAAATTTCACTTGTTACTTCACAGGAGGTAAAAATGCACACTGCCTAGATTTTTGTAAGGGTTGTCAGACATCGGATTGGCCGCCATATTTGAAACGAAAATATCACTAAATAGAGCTTTGCGCATGTCATCATAACAGATCGACTGTAAGGTGGCCATTTACAATTTTACGAGACTCGAATAAAAATAATGATTAAACAAAGCATTAACATGACAAAATGTCACCACCTTGTTCCTCACAATATTATGAGTTCAGTATTAGTCAGATTTGAATTTCTTAGAACTTGTAGATGATTTTGAAAAAATAAATTGGTCAATTTGAAGCAAGTTGTAAAAATACATTTTTTGACCCTTAGAAGGTCATTGAAGATGGAATCTCAAGTCAGATTTAAACTTATGAGAACTTGTAGATGATTTTGAAAAAATGGTCAATTTGAAGCAACATGAAAAAATATCTTTTTGACCTTGAGAATGTCATTGAAGGTCAAATCCTTTTTGACCTTGAGAATGTCATTGAAGGTGGAATCTATAGTCAGATTTGATCTGCTGAGAACTTGTAGATGATTTTGAAAAAAGGATTGGTCAGTTTGAAGTTAGTTGAAAAAATACTTTTTTGACCTTGAGAATCTCATTGAAGGTCAAATCGTTTTTGACCTTGAGAATGAGATTGAATATCAAATCTATAGTCAGATTTGAACTGTTGAGAACGTGTAGATGATGTTGAAAAAAAGATTGCTCAATTTGAAGTAAGTTGAAAAATACCTTTTTGACCTTTTTTGACCTTGAGAAGGTCCTCGAAGTCAAATCTCAAATCTAAAATCAGATTTTAGTTTTTGATAACTTGTTGATGATTTTGAAAAAAAGAAATTGGTCAGTTTGAAACAAGCTGAAAAAAGACCTTTTTGACCTTCTTTTGACCTTGAGAAGGCAATTAAAGGTCAAATCTTAAGTAATATCTGAACTTTTTACAACTTGTATATGATTTTGAAAAAAAAAGAATTGGTCGATTTGAAGCAAATTGAAAAATACCTTTTTGATTTTTGTGACCTTAAGAAGGTCATTGAAGGTCAAATCTCAAATCTAAAGTCAGATTTGAACTTCTGATAACTTGTACATGATTTAAACAAAAAGAATTGTTCAATTCGAAGCAAGTTGGAAAAATATCTTTTTGACCTTTTTTGACCTTGAAAAGGTCATTGAAGGTCAAATCTTAAATAAAAAGTGAGTCTTAACAGTTTTGTTAAGTTATTTGAAGTTGTAAGACTTTGTTACAGACGCCGATCGCCAACTTCCAAACCGCCGTCAAAAAAGGGAGACCATAGAAATATGTCACCACTTATTGGTGGTGACATAAAATTAATCTACTCTAAATTGTCTTCCATTTGAGTATAATAAGCTTCACTTCGGAAAGATCTCAAAATCTACGCAATTTTCTCCCCTTGGAGTCAGGGTGAAAAACGCGGAACATATGTGAAATATAGACAGATGTTTTTTTGTATCCGACCGCAGAAGAACTACATGTAAAGCGACCGTATGAATGTTATTGGCCGAAGAAATTATGAACCGTACGGTCGCCGTAGCAAATGTTACTGAGGCCTAGAAAGAATATATGAAATAAGGTAAAGAATATCAAAACCAAAATATTATATGATTTTGCAAGACATTTAAGAAGTTATTTTATATTAAATATAGTTTTTGTGACGAGGATTTAAATCAAACATACAGCCCCGGTAGGTTTCTTTATATCAATAAAACCGAGGAAATATTTGAATGAAATACTCTCTTATATTACTCGTAGGAATACTTTTTCCAAAATTCATAGTTTCTTCCGGCTTCCTCTATTAAATAAGTAATCGACAGTGCGTCTCTTAACAGGTCACATATTTATGCAAATAACGTATCTTGTAAGCAGGCATTTTGTTGTAAAATTATAGCTTTCAAGATTATCTACTATTCCAAGTGGACCAAAATGAGTTAAGTTTTCAGCCGAGGGAAATACCATTCCCTGGAACATCAAAATATGTTCAAATGCTGACCAATGATAAGCGTCTCTTACATGGTGGGTTATCGCATGTCTCCGTTCTTTGTTCATATGAGTTTCCAATACATTGACCGTATGAAGCTGGTTGTCTTGTTCGTGTCCGTCGTTTTACCTTTGTACCACGGCCACATGACACGGAACAGAGTGAGTAGGTCCAGTTTCCATATGGACTCCACTTACAGCCAATTGGATCTGAACCTAAATGTCCAGGATAAAATCGGAGGTCATATATTTGCCATAATTCATGAGTCGAGGTCTTTGTTACAGTTCTCAGATAATAAAAGAACAAGAAAAACAGCAATTCAAAATGACACCTCCCCCTTCAATGTCAACCTATGTTAACTAGTGGTGTCAATTAACCGCTTGAGCATTAACCGGTTAACCGGGTGTTTTTACCGGTTAAAGTCGGTTAACCGGCGGGAAATTTGAACTGATAATTTCAAATGAAATCTTCATCTTCGATCTTGAAAGTTGAAAAAATTGGAAAAATGATATATCGGCGTTTATTTTTTACGTTCGTCAAGCTTTACTCTATTCTATGTAAGTAAGCGCGGGAAAGCAATGTGGCAGGAATTAAAGTTGCTGATTGGATGTTTGTAAGGAATTATCGGACCTATCACATGTATGAGTAGCTCACATGAAACTGACGCTTGAAAAACAAACAGATTAAAATGCAAAGTAAGCGCGGGAAAGCAATGTGGCAGGGATTAAAGTTGCTGATTGGATGTTTGTAAGGAGTTATAGGACTTATGACATGTATGAGTAGCTTACGTGAAACTGACACCATAAAACCAAACGGATTAGCATGCAAAATAAGTGCGGGAAATAACAGAATTATACACGGTCAACTAACCGCCCATAAAAACACAGACCGGTCAAGGCATTATCGGCGGTTAACCGGTTAACCGGTTAACCGGTTAATACTTGACACCTCTAATGTTAACCCTTCAAAAACACAATGCTACATATACATGTAACTGCGTTATATAGTTTTTTCTCACCACAAGGAGGTTGGTCACAGTTTTTGGACTCAGTTTCTTTAGAGTTCCCTGGACACGGAGGTAAACCCGTGGATGTTCTTGTTCTACTTCTATATTTCTTCCCTGGTCCACATCTTGTAGAACAATGGCCCCAATCACTCCATCGTCTCCAGGGACCCCAAGGGCAACCTAAAATAGAATGAAAGTAATGTGTCATTGTTTATTCTGATAAAGTATACAATGAATTCCAACAATCTTCATTTAGTTGTGGAAATTCGACGTATACATACACTGAAAAAGGGTATGGTAAAGGCTATGCCAAGATCTTTACATTAGTTTCAAAACAAATATTCGCATATATGAAGCATTTTAATAACGCACTGCCCGATCGTCCATAAGAAAAATAATTTAGGGATGCAAGCCCTGGATCTAGACTCAGTGCAATGTGGACCTAATCATTCCTCAAAAAAATGTTATTTCAACCTTTGCATGAGATGTGTAGTGAAATGAATCAACCACGATGCATCAAGTATTGTGTTTAATTTGTATTCACACATAGCTAGGTAAGATGTGTCCGATTCAAGCCAATCCGAAGAGAGTATTCACATAATGTACAGTGTGTGAAATATCAATAACACATGCAAGATCTCTAGTTAAACAGTTGTCATAGTGATGAATGGATTTTTCACATTGGATTTGATGATTTGCCAATTTGATCCTTGCAAAAAAATTAATTGAAAATGCTTTCTTTTAGTGATTTCGTTCCTTTTAGATGATTTTTGAACTTAGGCGCACACTTTAAAAGATAAGATATTACTAAAAGAACATATTTTAAGTGGAACTTTTTGCAAGGGTTAAGTTGGTTAAGTATTAATTTGTAGAATCGAGTTGTCACCTTGACAACCATTCAACGGATGAGCTTTGGTGAGTTATTGGTTATATAATGCAGCGAAACTATATGGAATACTGTGTTCGGATTGACTGGAAGCGGACACACCTTGCTTAGCTATGTGTGAGAATAATATATTTTTCCTTTTTTTATAAAAATGATACGTTTGGCTTGTGCAGCTTTCGTATATACGTATAAACAAATAGGGATCTCCTTAAAACAATCTCAGACGACAATCGATTGCAAAAAATCATAGATTACTGTAAATAATTTTCCTTATTACTATAAATAATCTTCTACAAATAGGTGCAAATATATTTAATTCTGCAAACAATTTATCTTCATTCGTATAAGTAACCAAATTAAAAAGAAGATGTATATTTGTTTCTTTGAAATCATTACGGAAATATTGTCTACACTGTATCTCGTTATGCCATGTGGAAAATAAAAAAATGCCAAAATACCAATAACAACATAAAGGGGATATGAGTTTTACTAATGACCGACTGGCTTTTAGAACTATTAATGAGTTCTTATCGTATATTTACGTATAGTTGTTGTTGTAGATGGTGTCGTTGTTGTTTGACAATGACGAATCTTAATCATGCATTCTTTCACTGCATATCTCCTTTTTGAATATCTATAGCTATAATAGCACTTGTTCCAAAGGGAGTCCTCTACACGACATCCCTGAAATATTGATGAGATAAATAGTAAAAGGAGACGAATTTACATGTAAAATAGTGTGGTGACGGAGAAATAATAGCATTTTCATGGGGAAACTGAAAATTACATAGTATTTACGCTTTAAAATCACTTAAATATAATTTTCGATAAGGATAATATTTCAAAAACTTGTTAAAATTTTGTGTAAAAATATTGAGTAAAGCGGGAGATATCATTATAATATTGATGTGAATGTTTTTTATGCAACATAAAATGTTTTGTGGGCGACCGTATCGTTGTCTCAATAGCATCATTATTTTTTCCACGTCGTTAATGTTTCCACTTCTACAGTATATTAAATGGGTAACGGGTTGGTCAAGTGGTTGTTTGACCACGCGGTCTTTATTATAGGTAGCGGAGTTTAGTTTAATTCCAGTGCAGCATCCTGTTGGTCACCTACTTTTACTTGTAGTGATCATAATTATTATTTGTATTTTATCATTATTATACTATAATCACCTACTATGCTAGTATACTATTGGACATTTAATTGAACATTATTATCTTTATCAAATCGTTATATAATTAAAGGATTTAAGCCCAAGACTCAATGCATTGTTAGCTGAATCATACAATGAAGGTTGTATCCATGACTGCGCAGCGGGAATGCAAAGTTTAGGAAGCAACGCCTGAATGGAATGAAGCAGCTACAACGCATTGGGTCTGGGGCTTGAATTCTTTTCACACATTGCAAATTGTTTCTATAAAATAATCTAAAAGGAACCAAATCACTAAAAGAACACATTTTCAATGAATTTTTGCAACGGTCGAGTTGGCAAGTCATCAAACCCAATGTGAAAAATCCATTCATCACCATGACAACTGTTTAACTATTTACATTGCCTGTGTTTTCACACACGGATTTTCGTGTATGTACTAACCCATTCTGATAATGCAAAAATGTATGTACTAAGTGTATGTATCAACCTATACACAAAATGCACGAAGGCGAATCCTGAGTGCATTATCAGAATGTACATACACTCATGCTTTTATATTTCCAATATATAATGATACATGATTCTTTATTCCTTAATTATACGACTAGCCATCCACATTATGGCGCAATCGCTCAAGCACCATCAACATTATGGGGATTCCAGACTCGAGCACCATCCACATTATGGCGCTCCCAGACTCCAGCACCATTCAAATTATGTGGCTTTCCGAACCAAGCACCATCCACATTATGGCGCTTTAAGACTTATACAGCACCATCCACATAATGGTGGTTTCAAATATAGTACTTTCCTCATTATGGGACTACCGAGTTCCATATTGTCTTGAATTAGAATTCAACTTCCATTGAAGTCGCAAACGACGACGCGACTGAATAGTACGTGACAGTCTTTTCATGAGATGCCCAGATGAGTGATAAGTATATGTTTAATTCCTTTAAATGTCTTTTATACAGGCTCATAGGGCCTATCAACATTTTGGTATAACTTTTTCAACCTCTTTCATGAAAAGGTTCCAATTGTGGAATACCGTATAAAGTTTGAATAGATAATAAGAAATGTTTTAACAAGAAAACGAACAAAAGGAAGATAAACAAAGTTTTTAATATAAATATTAGAGATTTTTGATTTTATGAGTTCAAATTTTGAGTAATATGAAGTTATGGTAGCTTCATATACGCAGAATACGCAGCCACGTACTCTTGAGAGTGGAGATTAAGTGTTAATTGAAATAATTCATGTTTGATCCTAGTATCGCTCAGAACGCGCCAAACCAGCACAAAACCCCAATTATTTCTAAATCAAATAATATATTTTGATCCCACATTTACCCTGAACGTGCCAAATAAGCCCAAATATCCATAATTTTCAAGAGGACCCCCTGGTTTTGTTCAGCCTACGGACTCGAGTACTAGCACTATTAATCCTGGCTAATACGTTGAAGGTTCTGTGATAATTGATCAGAATTTGTATATACCGCCCTGGCTTGATATGGTATGATTTGATCATTGTCTCAAATATCTAAAAAATTAAAATATACTTGTAATATCTCATGCATAATTAAAATTGAATTATGAGACACTTCTGACACAAAACTGTACTCCCCTAAAATATTAAAGAATGTCTAACTGCTCAATTTAAACTCGAGTAAATGAAGTGTACGAACCGCCTTAATTTCGCAAGTGGTTTCGCAGTATTTTAGTCTGTACCTCCTGCATCTACTAGAGCATTTTCCATAGATTCCAGGGCCACTCTGCCCTGTTCCTGTAACTGTAACTGCAATTTTAAAGATAAATGCTGTTTACGTATCGAATCACGAGTATGATTAATACAGACCAAGCGTTAATGAGCCGACAATTGTTATGGTTTATCTTGCATAACGTTTCATCCTTATTTGTTTTCAGTAGCAAAAATAAAGTTTGTTTCTTTGAAATCATTTTGGAAATATTGTCTACATTGTATCACGTTATGCCATATTGAAAATGAAAATGCCAAAATACCAATAAAAATCCACCAAACTGCTCAATACTCAATTATAAAATAACAAAGAAAAATATTCTAGTATGTTAAAGCTAATTTGAAAAAGGGAGACTAATCAAGAGTCAATAAAAGGCAGATGTCCTTAAACCACGCCTGGTGATCGAGAAAAATCAACAAGGGGGGGGGGGGGGGGTAGCCGATCTTTATTTATTTTTTAAGAGAGACTTTACAATTGAATCGCTAATGGAATAGTTGCATGACACGAGGAAATCTTCGCGTATTTTTTTGAACTGATGGGATTGTAAGATATATGATCTGTTACAAAAGGCGCGGCGTCACCAACGTGCTAATGCCAATGTTTTTGCTATAATCGTACACGACCTGTGATACTAACAAATACTTATAAGGGACGTTATTATCACAAAGTTTATGTCATTACTGTTTTTTAAAAAATAAGTTTCCATACGTTAGATAAAAAATAATCGAACATTATTAAAATTGAACGAAGGGGGACTAATATGTCTTTAAGGAGGAAGATTTTTTTGCGAATTCGTGTATTTGGAAAATGAACTCCGTTACATCTGGATGGACTTTAGGAGTTATTGGAAATAAAGTCAAATTACAACTCTGAACACATGTCTTCAAGACACATAGCCCCCTCCCCCTCCGTTCAATTTTAATTATAAACAGTATATCTATGAAGCCCATCAGTTCCAAAAAAAACCTAAAGACCTAACATATTTCCCCGTGTCGTGGGCCTATTCAAATAGCGATTCAATTTCTTGCAAAAATAGACCTTCCAGATTTGTTATTTTTTCTAGCAAAAATCAGCTCCTCTCCCTCCGTTCATTTCCTCCGATCACCGGGCGTGTAAACGCGGTACGACATTTAGGTTTATCATTACGACCAGGTGTATCATTTCATTTCAATTTGGCGTCGTTAACATGGTGCAAGTGACGTAACATCTGTATACCTCCAAAAATAAGATGGTGATGTTAATGTACGCAGTCTTGATAATTGCATTCTCCTCAGTATCTACGATGTTCAAATGGGTCTATATTAACTGCAAGTACCTTACCTAAGATTTGAATCCTCAATCGAAATCTGTTTTACAATAAAATATATCAAAGAGTACTTACCGAATACGCCAGATACAAGTATAACTAAAGTCAAACTTATCATGAAATTCATGTTCAATGGCTTTATTTATATTTGTATATTTGATTCAAAGTCAATATCCAGTTTTCATTTTTATATGTCCATTCCCAAGGAACTTCTGTAGCGTTTTGAAAAAATATTCAAAATGTCTCTGCTAAATAGCAGTTTCGAAACTCAAAAAAGTCATTTCATTTTTTTGAAACACTGAAAGAAACAATGCTTATACAATGCGACACAAAGTATAAACCCATTTTGTTTATTTTGTTTAAACATCACCAAATCATTAAAAAACAAAGTTCATAGAATGTTCAGGATAAACTGCAGGTTGGAGACAATGAGCATCTAGTTTGCGGTTCGATAAAGTCATTATACAACCCATTTAGTGTTAGGACAGTATACAAAGTCATTATCACAATGTGATCGAACAATACAAAATAAAACAATACTTTTACAAATGCGCACAGTATTTATTAATGTACGTTGCACGAGCTTTAGAATGGGTAATATTTTTTTATTCATTATATTACCACCGAGGATCAATTATCGTATCGATAAAAATGATGTATGATTGGATTCTCAAGCTTATTTCATAGAATAAATCCAATTTGAATTTCAAACAACTGCAAGCCAATATATGCTACTGAATATGTATTTTATTAAATAAATTATACATTTGATAAAGGTTTAATCTTTATGTTTAAACATGTCCGTGTTATTGCTTTGTCGTCGTTTGCCATTCAAAACTGAAATACATAAACGTAATAAAATTAATACACAATTGCATCATACAAACAAGCGCATTCAATGTGTTTTGAAATAATCAGTGAAACATAAATTTAAATTGATACAGGAGTACATATACTTTGGTGAACTGATATGATATTAAATCCAACGATATCGGTAAATGCTCAAGAATGCCGCATTTACCATCAGCTAAAACAATGTTAAAAAATGTTATACATTTAACAGCTTTCACAGAGTTGAGTAGAATCAACGTTTTTTATTTGTGTCGACAGAAACATTAATGAAGAGTAGGATACTTAAAGAAATAAATAAACTAAAATCATTGATCAAGTAATTTGAAGTAACCAAGCACAGAAATGTCACGAATAGCCTAGTATGTACTTATGTATTAAGCACATGTAAGAAATGTAAAGAAATAGAATCGAGGCTACGCAAAATTAGCAACAAGATTAGTTCACAAGATTTTCAACAGATAAGATTTCAGAATGATTATTCAAAAATCGACTCATTAACGTTTTCAAATATGACTTCTATAGCTATAGCAGAAATCCCCAGAGTTTGAATCGGGTAAACATGGATTCAAAGACAACAAATCAATACTATAGTAATGTCTGCCTAAAAAGTCAACTTTTAAGCTAATGATTATATATCTGACGTTTAGCCTGCTTGACACGTGAAGACGAGAATAAGATTAAGATACCCATCTGCTGTCAGTTGAGCGCTTGGCAAACTACTTTACCAAAGGATAGAATATAACCCCCATTAAATGTTGTATTCTGAAAGCCAAAAGAAAAACTAACCGTACTTTTACAATGCCATTATCCTGTCCCAGGGGGCGTCTTACATAAGCCACAGCAGCTGCCTTCTAACGGGTCGGAGCCAAAATCACATATTGGGCATAACTCGTATTTGCATTTATCCTCGGTGGTTGTTGCAGGTTCTTCAGTTGTTGCAGGTGATATGGTTGTTGTAGGAGATGTGCTAGCTGTTGTTTCAGCTGCTGCTACAGAATCTAAATCATAAATTCGTTTTATAATTAATAAATATGATACTGAACGAGTAGGTAGACGCGTGAAAATATCACCCTTAACTTGAAATTCAATCGGGCACAAGGAAATACAACAAAAGGGAGAAATTATCCCAACATGACCATTATTTCACATATTCAAGACGTGAATCTTTAAGAAGTTTAGATCTTCGGCCATATTCGGCCATCTTCGGCCATCTTCGGCCATCTTCGATTGCAGTAAAAAATTCGTTGCCTTATATCCCATTGTGTAAAGTTAAGAGTAAAACGGATCCTACCGAGGCCACTCATAAAGGGACAACATATGAGATGTTGTTTGTATTGCACGTGTTCTCCGATGCAACTCCCTTCTGAATATCGCCCATCTTTCATGCAGGGGCACTGTCTACTGCGTTGGCATACGTTGTAACCCGAATTGCAGCCGGATCTTTTCCTTCTATATGTCCGTATCGGTGTACAATGACAAACCCATGGTGTCCAAGGCTCGTATGTGTTGCATGTGGGTTTTGGAGTCGTAGCTTAAACACAATTAATAAACACGTTTAATAACAGACATCAAACCATATTCTAACATTTTAAAACCTAGAATCCTATGACTAATTTGCTATCTCCGGTTTCAATTCATTAAATCAACGGTGAAAGTATAATGTTCCCAATTTGTTTTTGGAAATTTTTATCCTACGTTTTCGTTGTGCTCTACGTTTACTTCTCAATACAATCAACTCGTATTGTTTGGGTCTCCGTACGTACCACACGTTTTTGCATAGCAGAGCTCGTCTGTGTGTTCGTAATTCTTTCCGTCACATGTCGTCGATCCTCCAGTTGTTCCATATACCTTAGTTCTAGTTCTAAGTTTAGGTCGGATTCCCGTTCCACATGTGACACTACACGCTCCAATTGACCAGTCGCTCCATTTACTCCATCTACAACCTACAAACAACGAGGTTTCAAAAGGGGAAAACTGTATCGTATGTTACATTTTGATCAAAAGACCTTTCCAACCTTTTTGAAGATAAAAGAAGCTAGGATATATTGGCTAGATTGGTGATGTCTTTGGTTGTCGGTATTAGTCCGTCCAAATGAAAATAGGATGAACTTATTGCCAATCTTGAAAAAGAACAACCTATAACATCATCAATCTAACCAATATAGCCTATTATAGGTTCTTTGATATATCAAAAGGTTGCAGGATGTACTGGAAATGTATTTTACTGTAGACTCTGGTCTATGATTTATCTACATTTATCTATAAGCAACAAGACACAAAACTAAATGTCGCAAAAGATCGAAAAAGTCATCATGCCCGCCAAGTGATTTTACCCAGCAAGCCCTAAATCTAATCAGATGATTTTAGCACCATTCTGCTTTTGCATCTGAAAAAGTTAACTGAGTTGAATCGGTGATCGGTTTTCCTGGAATTTTGGTCACATGATTTATGCTGCGCCCGTGCGCCCATCGTCCGTCTAGACTAAGCAGACCCACCAGCACAATGTAGTACTTCGAATATTTGTTGAACGTTTCCACATCATTTGTTACAAACAACCATAAACATGCATGATTCGATGCTAATTCCGATGACACAATGTAAAATGATGTTCGTTGACTCATTTTTTTAAATATTGTAATAAGGGAACATGGACGTGACCTGCCAAGTTAGTTGCACTGAAGACGGGCCTTTTGCTATAAGCTTGTATGACTTACATTTTGGCGCAGGACATTGCGTATTAACTTTCTTTTGGGTTTCTGTTTCGACAAATGGTCTTGGACATCGATTTGGATCTCTTTGTCTGACCCTGGCTCTTGAACAATATGCAAGTGTCGTTGAACCGCATCGAGGGATCCCAGGGGGGCAACTTTTGCAACTCCAAGATGTCCACTTGGACCACTGTCCCCATGTACAAGCTACAGAAAATTATATCACTGGAAAGGTTTCGTATCAACGCTTTGTTTAATGTATCCATAGCTCTGTACGTTTACGTTAACATGACTATTTTCAAATTTTTGATTTATTTATATGCATAACGCATTTCAATCGAGCTCATGGCATCTCTGTAATGTCTCTTAATGTATGTTTTTATTTGTTGTACGCATTCAAAGTTTGTAAATAAACCATAATACATACATTATATGGTTAATGTCGTATCACAATTCACCGATTAGGAGCTAGATCTAATAAATACACAAATTGAATTCAGTATGTAGCGTATCAAGTAATCCCAGAGCTGCTCCAAAAATTGTTATTTACTTGTAAATATACTTTAATATTTGAATAGATATAGCATCATACACATAGCCTAGTCGGTGTTTGACCTAGCCGTCAGCGGCGTGGCAAAGTGAACAAAATTTATGATATCCCCATGTTAAGGATTTTTAGGAGAACGAATACTATCATCAATACACCTAGCTTACTTGTACAACACTGTTGTGTTTTATGCTCTATTGAAGAACCGGGGCACGATGGTCCACCCCCTCCTCCACTCCTACGAGAAACTTCAACTGCAGCGCCAGCGTCATCAGCGTTTCGTTTCGAATATGGACACGGTGGACAAACCCTTGTTCTAGTGCAAGTCTGAGTACCGCATGGCATGTGCGCAAGTCGGTCATCATCGCCATCGGGGTCACCTCGTTTCTTGCGGTATATTGAGCAGCTTCCGCACACCCAGGGTTGCCATGGTTCCCAAACACCACACGCTATATACAAAACGATTTGGTGATTTACAACACTGTTATATGATGGTATCTTAAACATCTTAAATATCTTGATCGTGAACTGAAGAAAACGGGATGAAATACTCATGTTAGTCGCACACTCAATCAAATATGATACCAACCTTAATTTGGGTTTATTACTGAAGTGAAAAAAATAACTCACGTAGAAAAACAGGATTTAAAGTAATGCATGCCAACTTTCCATAAAGTTTATGTTTAATTAACTTTTGATTTAAAAGATGGCGTGTTGTTGACATTTCTATCAAAAATGAAGGAATCTTATAAAAATTTGGCAAATCAAAAATAGTACTTGATATGATGTTTTCTGTTTCAGCTGTTTTGCTGTCCAATGAAACATCGAATACTTATCAATCCATTTGGAATTTATGAAAATCCAATTTAAGAATTTATTTTGCCAACAAATGCTGAAAATACTCAAAGAGTCCCTTTAAATTCTAATTAATACAAAAATATACAAATTATATACAAATTGCTAATATCTATCATTAACTATTTTACTAGCATTTATGTCGTGTTTTTATAAGTCAATACAACACAATGTGGGCTATAACATTTCTGCAATCTGATGGTTGATTTAGCTATTGCCCAATGCTTAAAATCAATATGGAATCAAATTGGTCTGTACGGTGTGTGGTACTTTTCTTGAAATCTACAAAAATCTAACAACTAGCATCTAACAACTAACTAACTCGATCAACAAAATCGTAAACGATTGGAGGAGTCTGGCTTCCGTATGCAAACATAATGGAATTATGATAAAATGTAAGTGTGTACATGTAAATGCGACATTACAAAAAATTAATTAAAAAAACTATGTATTACTGAATACAACGCTCATGGATGATTTATAGATATAATGCAAACAATATATTATGGATTCAGTTTAATTGAAACCGAACACAACTGATTTATCCAATGGAATATTTAAATTGCGCTGATGCACTGTAGAGTTAGAGCGATGTAAATTGTGCAGCCGTTTATCATATGGGTACAATTTCTAATATGGAATATCATGGGAATAATAGTTCATCGAATATACCTTTGACCATTAAATGTGTAGTGATATGCGCATACTTAATGTTTTCGAAATCAATAATAGTTGACTTACGTTTGCATTCCTTAAGATAGCATATTCCATAACCAGTCTCAACCGAGTCCCCTTGACATACACATGGGCCTGGTTTATTGGACCATTGTTCTGTTCTAATTCTTGTCTTGATCTTTGTACCCAATCCACAGGTAACTGAACATTCTCCATCGACCCATTCTTTCCAAGCACTCCAATAACAGCCTACAAAAAACGTGATTTGAATATGACCGTTAATAGATTCGTCCCTGATTTGAGATTTTTAAGATTTTTACAATAATGTATTATTTTAGTATAAAAGGGTTACCATTCTTATTATTTGGGAGAATTTAAACATTTTCACCCATTTTTGAACTTTGAATCCATAATAACGTCACCGATTGATAACATATTGTGAATTTTTGGGAGATTTTGTTTCTGAGATTGTAAAGAATAGATTAATATGTCAATTGTACATGTTGCTTGTAATTTTTTCACCCCTATAGATCTGATTCTGCCTTGATGAAACATATTTTGTTATTTCAAA